AAAAATTGAAATACAATGAAAATTTTACTTTTTTTTTATTTATCACTTTTTTCTTCCTTTTTTCAATTTCGATTTATTCATATGAATGAATAAAAAGTTTGTCTTGGTGTGATTACGCACAGAAAAAAAATATGTCTCAAACACACATATATTTATTATTTATGTGCCTATTTATCCACAGGGTCTGAAATTTGGATTCTTTACAGACAAACATTTTTTCGTAAGCAAAAAAAAACCATTCATTTAATGTAGAATTGAAACTATACATCCATGGATAAATTTTTATCATGGTAATTGTTAACATTGGAATATAAAGAATCACCCGCAATAATTTATTTCTGTGTTGGTGTTCATTCATTCGATAATTTCTTTATTAGAATTATAAATGAAACAAAAATAAACCATATTCAATGTTATATGATTCTTTATGTAGGTATGTTCAATGAGTAGAAACAATTTTGTTTATCTTGTTGCTAAATGATTGCATATAAAGTGACGAGAATTTGATTGATTATTCGTATGTCAACAGTCTGTTAGTCTTTGTTGTTGTTTTTTTTTTTGTACGTGACAGGACATAATCTTATAACGGATGATTTGATTTGATTTTCTTTGCAAGTATTCAACGATCAAACTATAAACGTCATGCAGGCATGCAGAAAAACAAAATCCAGTGATGATGTAGGCCATGATCTAGAATTTGAAAGAATAATAAAATGAAATTGATGCCATCCAGAATATTTTTTTTTTAATGTGTAGATGGTCAAAAAAAATTCATATCGAAAAAAAAAGATTTGCAGAAAAGTTTGCAGCTGTCAAAGTTATTTTCTATGAATATGAATGTAACAATCGATCCATTAAATTCTGAGAATCATTAAGTGTGCAGAATCATTTGGAATTATCAACGATGTTTGTTTTACCGTTATTATAATATTGAATGAAACGAGATGATGATTCAATGAAAAATCGAAAAAAATATAGGAATCGATCGACTACTTATTATCGAACATTTTGAATTATTGTATTTTATTTGTATAGCAAGATTTGTATACACAGAAGATAGCAAACAGTTATATATTTCGTTTAAATTATAATGTATTCTGATGATGATTGTGAATAGCAAAAAAAGGCTAATGAATTCGAATTCCATTTTTTGTTTTGTTTTGTTTTGTCCACACCCATTGATCGAAATCGTTTTCATTTTATAACAAATATATTGTCATTTGTGATTTGGGACGATTTTTTCCATTTAACTGTCAAAGCCGTTTTTTTTGTCGTACAATGCAATTTACAATCAAAATTTCGATTTTCAAATATGAAGATTTATCTTTTCAAAAATTTTGGCCGAAACTCATTCTCGATTATGGGCCATTTTTGTTTGCAATCATATAAATGATAGAGAAAACTTTTTAAAATTTTTGCACAAATATGTTTGAAAAAGTCATTTAAATTTTGGTTTTACTTTTAACCTTAACATTATTTAAATAATGTTATGGTCAGAAGAATTATGGTAAATTCTATTTACTGTACTGAAATAAAAAAGAATTGGAATTCAAGCAAATTATGGAAAAGCTAAAAAAACAATCCAATAAAATTTAAATTCACATGTTCAAATCATAGAATTCTAACATCAACAACCAAAACAAGTAAGCTTAGCCTATCCTCAGGGCTTCTCTCATCACAAAAACACACACATAATTGTTACCATATTTAGAAATCATTTTTTTCTTGTGTTTTCGTTACAATGTACAAGAAGATCAAAATTGAATGGAAATTTCACTTGTTTATGTGGGGGAGGATAAATTGATGTGGCGAATGGACGATTTTGAGTGTAACAAGTTTATGAAGCATTGTGAATGAATAAACAAGTTCTTCGATGTAGCTTTTGATAATGTTTGATGTTAATTATCGTGATGATGCCATCATGGCCACCAAACAACAATTGAAAAGTTTGCTGGCCACCTGCCTTAATCATTCACATTGAATCTGTTTATTTACGATTGTTCATGATTTTGTTCCAAAGAGAAATATTCGAAAAAAATAGGTGCAGCATTGTCCTTCAAATTTTGATTGAAACTTTTTTGTTTTTTTTTGTTAAAAATGTTTATCTTTTGTTATATTCGACGACATAATAGTGAAAAAAAATCATCAAGAATAACTTTTGGTGACAAAAAAAAAGTTTTCTGAATAGAAAGAATTCTATCGTTTTAAAACTTACTCGAAAAATGATAGTCACCTTATAGATTTTTCATTTTCCGATTTTTTTTGTCGCTTTTCATTATATTAAAACATGTTTATGAATGTTGCTAGAAGACAATTATTACCACCGTGAATTCATTCGGTTCAATTGACAAAAAAGTTTCCTACTCATGACATTTTGTTGAACTCACACTGGCTCGATTTCAATTCTTTCAATTTGTGAAATTACTTTCACTTGTCACATTGTCATTATATACGGTGAGAATTGTATTATCTGCATTTAGAACTAAAACTACTATTTCATCCTGATCTTTATATGATTATTATTTATTTCAATTAAAAAACTCACCAAAAGGTAGAGATTAATCTGCAATAAAATACTTCATTTCATTGGTGATCACATTTCAATTCAAAAATATGTTCAGCTATATCGACATTGTTTGGTTGTTGAACTGATTGGATCATATTGGTTTTTATCAATTAAAATTGTGTTTATAAATCGATCACGATCGATGATCAACAAGTTATATTTGTTTTATAATTCGAATATTATTTGGAATTTTTGTTTGTGCTATTAATTGCTTTTTCAACTCATCCATAATGGCTACATCAAGTATATTGATAAGTAAATTGGAAAATTTTTCTAATCATTATTAAATGATTGATTTATTGTTCCAGGGTTGGCCACCGAGATCTTGTATACCATTTTCAATTAAATCAATCAAAATTTGGTGATAAAAGACTTTTTTTTATTATCAAGTATGATAATAATCCTCTTAAAAGTAGTTTAAATTTTTTAATATTGAAATGAAAAACAAAAAGTTGACATATTATCTTGAGGATATAATGTCGATAAAATGTGTCATTTTGTCTGAATTCATTTTATTGTGCGTGATTTTAGGACAAAATGTAAAAACTATTTCATCATATCACGTATGTAGCGATGACAATTTATTTCACCGCCGCATTCAATCAATTAATTCTGTTTGCTTTTTTTTTACTTTATTCGTATAATTATCATGAAAAGAATTCCTATTTCGAAATCATTGGTTGGAAAAATAGCTTATTCATCATTCTCACTTACAATAATTACTTGGAATCATCAATTCATTATTTTCATCCATTAATTTATATACCTTTAAGTGTTTCTATCTCAATCATCACTCATCTCATTAATAAGTTATCAATTCATAAATGAGTGTTTTCACTTAATTTTTGCTTGTGTGTAAATTGTAATATCGAGATGTCAACCTAATGGAACCAACCAGGTTCCATTTATATGAGATGTCGAATTGGATTTGATTTTATTAGTTTCCACTTCATTCTCATTGCACAATTTATTTGTTATATGTTTGGTTTTATCACCAAATTATTATTGATTTTCTCATTTTCAAGATTTTTCTCTTTCATTGTATTTTGACTTTCGCTTTGTTCTTATTTGGTCATTGCCATTTTGAATAATTGGTGTTCAGTGGAGACAAAGTTTATTATGATAATGATTATTATTATAGCCGAAAGTTTGCTTAATCTCATCAACAAAATCAACACAATATGATTATTCCGATTATCATCGAAGATGATGTGATCACTTGTTGATTTTTTAAATTTTGTTCACTCTTAGGTTTATATTATTTTTACAAAATATATCTAACTTGAACTTAGTCTTTTTCTGTTTTATTTATTTGTCCTGTATTGAATTACAAAATTTCTTAATTATCTGCAGTTTTCTATGCTTAAGAAATAGAAAAAAAATCACGATCGATCAATCAAATACAATTTTGAAATTCTTTTCATTTTGATTGATCAATTTTTTTTCAATTCAATTATCATTGAATGAAACATATATCTTATATTTGATTTCCGTTTATAATCGTCAATTTATTTATGTATGTGTGTGCATTTGTGCGATATTTTTTTCATCATCATTATTACGTCAATCTCAAATCGAATAAACAAATCGGCCAAAATATCGAGAGTGAAAGAGAAAAAATACAAGATATTTCACTCATCCATATCTTTTATTTGTCTCTTTTTTTCTGAAGTTTGGCGAAAAATTCATGCCAAATCTCTAAACAAATCAACTAAAACAATTTACCTATTTTATCAATGAACCGAGCTATTTTTCATTCGATTTTTTCTTGTTAGACTTTACTCGTTTTTTTTGGCGAAAAAGTTTTTTGTCAGTATGCCTGTAATCCTTTTATTTTACTTTACTTTTTATTGATTTTGACATACGATTAGAACAATTCTAAAGTTATATCCTACAGTTTCCAATTCGTTTTCGTCATCGTTATATTTCAAAGGCTAAAGATATCGATGATGAATAATAAATGATTATGATGATTGACAATCTAATCATCATTATTGTTCGGTTATAATTTAGCTTGTTTTCTTTCATTTTATTCGCTTACAAACATTTCTAATTTAATTATGTGGGAGACAGTCAGTAACCAATGTCTTATCATCATCATCAAAAGAAACATACTTAAACCTATTTTTGGCCGTAGAAAATGAGATACTTTAATTTTTTCATTGTGTTCATTCATTCATTGAACACAGTTAGTATTTTTTCTCAATTCAATACGGTTCGATAAGCTTCAAATAATTTGCATGAATCATCATCATTCTCGATTCAATTCAATATGAATGCATGGCTTGGTACAGTCAAATTACTACAGACCTGTTATTTTCAAATATTTTTTTCAATGAAAAAATCGACATTTTTTTCTGTGTTGACGTCATTCTTTTTTTTAAAGTGAACAAAATTCTTTTACTGATTATTTTTTTTATTTACCATTTTTCAGTTCAATTTTCTTCCGATTCTGGTCAATTGAATCATCGATCATCCGTGTCATCAATTTTTGATCAGATGTCGAGTTTAATTTATTTTCCGTTTGACACCATTTTCACTATGAAGTTTTAACTGTTTTATAGCATATACGATTTTATATCATGATGAATTCAATAACAACACCTGCATCATCATCATCATCTTTATCAATGATGTCCCCAATAACGAATTATTCAAATCAATTGTCTTTCATTGTGAATACAACGGCAGCCATTGGTTCGCATATTATGCCATCATCATCAACGTTACCGACATCCGATTCGAATAATCAAATTAATGACAATCATTCATCATTATCATTATTGCAACAACATTATTATTCACATTTACAATCATCATCTTCATCTACTCCAGATGATGAGCTCACAAATAATTCGATCATATCGAATTTAAATTCCTTTTTTCAATCCACAACTACTGTATTGCCATCACCATCATTAACTTCAATTGCAAATCAATCACTCAATCATCAAAATTCATTTACATTTCATTGTGAAGATGGTCTCATACTACCATGTTGGTATTCTGATGACTCCCTACAAACAATGATATTACATGGAGTTGTTTATTTATTTGCATTGATCTATATGTTTGTCGGTGTGGCCATAATTGCAGATCGTTTTATGTCCTCAATTGAACAGATTACCAGTCAAGAACGTGATATTATTGTACGTCGTCCAGATGGTCGCAAAGAAATCGTATCTGTTCGGATATGGAATGAAACCGTTTCTAATCTTACATTAATGGCCTTAGGATCTTCTGCGCCAGAAATTCTACTTTCTGCAATTGAAATTTATGCACAAAATTTTGAAGCGGGTGAATTGGGACCCGGTACAATTGTCGGATCGGCTGCTTTCAACATGTTTGTTATTATTGCAATATGTGTATGGGCTGTACCTAGTACACAGATTAAAAAAATTAAATACCTTCGTGTGTTCATCATAACAATGCTTTTCTCTGTGTTTGCCTATGTTTGGTTATTGATTATATTAATATGGTCATCCCCGGGTGTTATCGAAGTATGGGAAGGATTAATGACTTTATTCTTCTTCTATCTTACTGTACAATTAGCTTATATTGCCGATAAACGTTTATTAATCTATAAATATCTTGATAAACATTATCGTTTTCGACGTAATCGCTTATATGAATCGCCGCAATCGAAACCACCTAGCAAAATGCAAACACTAAGTTCGACATCAAACGAAGACGGTACGGGTGAGGAAAAAATGGAATTGAACAATGTTAATGGGCAAATCAAAGACAAAGTTGATCAACAACAGCCGCCTCAACAGCAACCTCAATCCATAATAGATCCAGTACCTGTCAAAGATGGCTCATATTCCGCTCAACAAACACAAGACAATCCGATCGAAATGCTCAACAAAAATGTCAAGGTTTGTAATAATGACAAATTCGATTGATTTTCTCATTTTTGTTTTATTTGAACACAAAACTTTAGTATATTGATGCCAGTGAAGAAGATTTACAATTGATTGAAGATCATCGTGAGAACGTGATCGAAATTTTGAAAGATGTATATTCACGTCATCCGAATGCAACATTAGAAGAGCTTGAAGCGATTGGCCGCGCCGAGATTCAAAAACTTCAGCCCAAAAGTCGTGCATATTATCGAATGATTGCCGCACGACGAATGCTTGGCTCAAGTACAGATTTACCTAATGATTCATATAGTTCGCGTGATTCTCTATCGATTCAAACACCCCCTACACCATCGGCAAAAAATAGTAAACAACCGGATGAATTGGAAATGATTTCCTCCCATGATGTTCAGGAGAAATTTATGATTCATGTAAAATTTGATCCAAAAGAATATACGGTAATGGAAGATGTTGGACAAATGTCATTGACTGTTCGTCGTTCGGGCCCGGATCTTGATTCATCTATTATTGTTCATTATCGTACAGAGGATGGTACCGCTAAAGCGGGCACTGATTATGAACCAGCTTCTGGATCAATAATTTTTGGACCTGGAGAATCGTATAAACAAATAATATTGACTATCATCAATGATGATGAATTCGAAGAGGATGAACATTTTTATGTACGACTATTCGATGCTAAATATGCATCAGTAGCCATGGATTCGGAAGAAAATCAAAAACCAATCATTAACATTATGGATGACCGTGCCCGTATCAATATACTGGATGATGATCATTCGGGTGTATTTTCATTTGTCAATAATGTCTTCCAAATGCCCGAAACCATTGGTGTTTATCGTTTGGATGTAATCCGATATTGTGGTGCACGCGGTACGGTTGCCGTACCATATCGTACTATTCCGGCAACAGCAAAACCAGGTGAAGATTTTGAAATGAGCGAAGGACATTTATTATTTCACAATAATGAAACAAAAAAGCATATCAACCTTTCCATAATTAATAATGTAAATTATGAAAAAAATTCCATATTTTATGTTGAACTTTATGAACCACATCGCCGTGATCAACAAAATGTCCACAATGAATTGAATGAACGTGGTGCTCCACGTTTAGGTGACCTAACAAAATGTATGATTCGGATACGTGAATCTAAAGAGTTCAAACAAATTGTAGACAGTTTGATGCGACGAAAGAAAACATTAGGCTATGCTGATCGTGCCGGTTCATGGGAAAATCAAATCATAACGGCCGTTAAGATGCACAAATTAAGTGCATCTTCATCATTGAGTGAAGATGTTGAATGTTCAAAACGAGAAACATTGGATGGATCAAAAGATGAAGAATCAGATGAAGGTGAACGTACCTGTTGCGATTATTTCATCCATTATGCCACCTTTTTCTGGAAAATTGCCTTTGCTTTTGTACCACCAGCCACCATTTGGAATGGTTGGGCCTGTTTTCTTGTATCCATTACAATGATTGGCGTACTGACTGCATTGATCAATGATCTAGCATCACATTTTGGGGCTACTGTTCATCTAAAAGATTCAGTGACAGCTATATCATTGGTAGCATTAGGTACTTCCGTACCGGATACATTCGCATCTAAAATTGCTGCGGAAAATGAAAAAAATGCAGATTCATCTGTCGGAAATGTAACCGGAAGTAATGCTGTGAATGTTTTTCTTGGTATTGGTGTAGCATGGACAATGGCTGCCATTTATCATGCTATAAAAGGTACACAAGGAGGATTTCAAGTAGAGCCGGGAAGTCTTGGATTTTCAGTACTTTTATATTGCATTTGTGCTTTTATATGTGCAGCTGTATTAATGATACGACGTGCATATTTAGGCGGTGAACTTGGAGGACCGATCATACCGAAAATCACGACGGTCAGTTTTTTCGTATTCTTATGGCTATTCTATCTGATTATGTCAACACTTGAAGCTTATGGTTATATCCAAGGTTTCTAACTCACAAAAAACTACTCGACATTTCACACATCTTTTTCAAATTCAAATTAATCATCCATTCCTTCCTTTTTTTTGTCCATGATTTTTATCGGGAAAAATTTATCAAGCGAAAAAATTGTTTTATCATTTGATCATTGTTATTTTTCAATATGATTGTATCCGTATATTCGGATTTTCGAATAAATTTAAAAAAATTGTAAAATGAAAAATTTATTTTTAAAAAATGAATAAACTTTATCCGAAATCTTTACGGAAAATTCTAATGTAAAATAGTAAAAAAGTTTCCAATCAATTGTTCTCACATGCGAATAGTTCATGTCCATTTATGAATTTTGATGATTAAATAGTTTGGTTCTTTGATTTCATCGGGATGTCTTCATTGAAATCTTTGTCCCATCGTTCATGGATTTATGGTGTTTTCCGAAACCAAATCATTACTCCGCTGATATTCAACCAAAATAAACGTATGATTGGTGTTCGAGAATGGCGAAAGAAATATAATCGACCGAAAAATCGTTTGGATTTCATGCCAGAATGGAGTTATTTAGATGGACGAGGATATGGACCACCGTCCATGGTGCAAAAAAAACGTTACATCCGTGATCAAGTTCTAGGACAAACAGTGGTGGAAAGGCTGAACGAACTTGAAGAAGCGAAAAAGTTTTGAAAATTCACAATTTTGTCAATACGTTTTGTAACTTTTTATCGTTTTCGATGTTATGTATGTCAATCATTCTATATTCCTTGGAAAACACAATGCTGTAGAAATATTTTTGAGAATTAAAAATATCACATTATAACATAGAAGTATTTATCGGTTTTTACGACTTTGAGGAAACGATGGCATCACGCTTGGGTCACAAGCTAGTAGATAAAAAAACGATCAAAAAAATTTTAGGATCTTTGTCTTGATACAAAAAATACTCACGCAAAGGAGATTCACGAAAATAAGAGCTTTGTAAACATTCATCAGCCGTTGCTCGTTTCCATGGATCGTACATTAAAAGTAAATTCAATAATCGGATACCGGCTTTTGATACACATGAAAATAGATGTGATATATTATTGAATGGTTGATGCTTAACAGAGAATGTTTTGGCAATAGGCAAGTCAGAAAATCCTGGCCAAATTTTGTCATTTGGTGTGCCTATCAAATCAATTATCAAATCTATCTGTTGCATTTCACTCTGCCCAGGCAGTAATGGTTTCTGTAACAATAATTCACCAAATATACAACCGGTTGCCCACATATCGATAGCTGTAGAATGATAATTCGATTGAAACAATAATTCCGGTGCTCGATACCATAATGTCACGACACATGGTGACATTGGATCGTTTGGAAATCCATAGTTTCGTGCAAGACCAAAATCAGCGATTTTTAATAATCCTTTGTCAGTTAACAATAAATTTGATACTTTTAAATCACGATGAATTATAAAGTTTTTATGTAAATATTTTAAACCACGAAAAAGTTGTTGCATCAGACATTTGATCTATAAAGAAAAAAATTTAATCATTTAATTGTGCAACTGAATTGATTACTTGTGATTCGGTGAAGTGAATTTGGCAGTCAACCAATGTGGCCAAATCTTGTTCACAATATTCCATGACTAAAAATACGTTGTCCAAAGATTTACCGACGACGACATCTTTAAATTCGACAATATTTGGATGATGAACTGTTCTCAGAATATTTATCTCACGAACACTACTAATGGGGAATCCATCTTTAAGTTTTTCAATCTTAATCCTTTTTAAAGCCATTATTTCATTAGTTTGAATATTTCTAGCTTTGTAAACAACTCCATATGTTCCTTGTCCAATTTTGTTCAATTTCTCATAGTCTCCCACATGATCACATGAACCAAGCTAAGAAGGAATATTAAAAGAGAAATTCCAATAATAACAACATTGACATACCAGATGACTTTTCGGAATTTCGAATGAAGATAGATCTTCAAATGAATAAATGGTATTATCTGTTATTGTCGTCATGATAATAATCAGATTTGAGTTTTGTAAAAAATAAAATAAACAAACATCAAAACATACATCAAAAGCGACATCTTTATTCGAATTTAGGAAATAAATAATAAAAATAAAGATTGGAAAATTCCGAATGAATCATTATAATGGATAGAAGACCAAGGCCATAAATTAAGGAATATTTATTCTAAATCTTCAATTCGGACAGGATGAGGCAATGGGATGATTGATTGTTTAAGTTTGTCACGAGATAAAGCTTTTCTCATATCTATATGCATTCGATCAACGTGAAAAAAAATTTAATTAGTTCAATTTACTGTAAATTATTGATAACCAATTACCATATGCATCTTCATCCGGATCCCCGGTGTAATATTCCAATACCTGTCGATATACACTATAGCCAAGTTTTTTATACATATCAATGGCAATCTTATTCGAAATTCTAACAAACAAATCAACAAAAAAAGCTTGTTTCCTGTTTCAAAATATAAAAACAGTTTTATAGTAATTAAATCTTGTAAATAGTGAATAATAACCTTTCCGATGTCAACTCTAGACAATACATTAGTTTAGCAGCTAGATTCAATCGACGATATTGTGGGGCAACAGTCAAAGCGGTTACATGTCCATGCCAATTATTACCGGTGCCTTCAATTTTGCCCATGACTTGAACAAAATATGGTTGTAATAATTATACAATATGACTATAATACATGACTTACTGTATCCCATGATTTCACCATTTAATGATTCAGCTATATGAAAATATTCGGGCCAATGGGTTAAATATTGTAGATAGAATGATAAACCGTAGGTTTCAGTGAATGGGTCTAAATTTCTTTAGGAAAAAAAACAAACAAAATTAGATTCGTTTAATTTTTATTGATACGAACACATTGTTGATACGAAATAAATCGTCCAATTTGAATGGTCGAAGATTAGTCATTATTTGATTGAAGAGAATTTGCTTTTTTCTCAGATATTGTTCTGTTTATTGTTTCAAATGTTTGGCTATAGGACTCGATTAACTCGTGCGAATATCAAACCTATTCGTCAATCGTTTAGATAAAAGATGGCGCCAAAAGGAATAATTTGCATTTTTAGCATTTTTATTTTTACTAATAATAAAATATTTCATGCTCAAATATATCAGAAAATTGGCAAAATAATTCGATAAAATAAAAAAAAATAAAAAATAATAAGATCATTTCAAATTATAAATAAATTTTCCGTTTGGATGAGCAGTAATGACCTGGATGTAATGGACAGATGAAAAAGAATGAAAATCTACAAGAGAATATAACAAAGCATCTTACCTTAAATTCAAATTTATCCGTTACAATCATTTCAATATCAAGTATAGCAAAACTTTTTATAGTTTGAATTAAATTCATTTTGTTGTCATCTGACAAGGTTTCAGAACAAGTGTCGGGCATCGATTGTTTGTCGATTGGTTTCCATTTCAATTTCAATTCACGTTTACTATTATCACGAATAAATTGATAATCATCAATATATAGTTGATCCAAATAAATACGATTGATGGTGTCAAATGTCAGCGTCAGGACATCAAATGAATGATCATATACTTGAAATACGATTGCTTTCGATGTAAGTGATCCAATTTTCGATATATATGCCTTAAGATAGATTTCCGTACTTTTCTCTGAAGCTAACATCGCATTATATTTTTTCGTATTACAATGATCAGCTATCTTTTTCAATTCTTCATTCGTTTTTGAACATATACTTGATTCGTATCCAAGAGCAACGGAAAGTAAACGATGAACTATAATATCAGCGTATCGGCGTATTGGTGATGTAAAATGAGTGTATGTGGAAAAATTCAACGCAAAATGATGATATGACAGGGGATTATCCTGATCGCTTACACAGGTATACATAGCCAATTTCATGGCTTTTATCAAAAACATTGTAGACATTTGGCAAAAGTTTCTATCGATATCGGCCAACTTTTCTAAGGATTCGACCATTGATCGTGAACATTCACTTTTAAATTCAATGGGACAAATATCTTTGATTGATTTTAGAAATTCACGTAGAACAAACTTATCCAATGATGGGTGACATCGCAAGAAAGCTCTTCCTTCGGGAGCAAATTTATCATACAGAAATTCAGCGACACATTTGTTTGCCATAAGCATAAATTCTTCGATGAGCCAATTCGATTCGCGGAGCTTATATTTGGACAATGCCAATGGCATGCCTTCTTCATTTAGCATAAATGAAACTTTAGTTTTATCCAATCGAATGGAGCCAGACTCTTGTCGATTTCGTCGCAGAGTTTTGGCTATAATATGTAAATGGCGAACACGTTGACCGATTTCGGATAAAGACCATGGACCATAAAGCTGAGGAAAGATAGACTCGTCCAATTTGTTATCATCATCGGATTCAATAAGTTTTTGTGCCAATTCATAGGAAAGCTTACAGCATGAATTTATAACTGTACGTCCAAACCATCGATCCAGAACCTGGCCATAGTTATTCACTGTTATGATAGCCGAGAATGTAAGCTTATCTTGGCCAGGATTTAGTGAACATAAATCTTGACAGAATATGTGTGGCAACATCGGGATCACTTTGGAAACCAGGTAAACAGAAGTTGCACGATCACTGGCGATAAGATCTAACAATGTATTCTCTTTGATGAAATATGATACATCGGCAATGTGAACGCCAATTTCAAATCGATCATCGGATAATTGTCGATAAGAAATAGCATCATCAAGATCGCGAGCCGTCTCTGGATCAATAGTAAATATGCATTCTTTACGAAGATCTCTCCGTTGTTCAATTTCTGTTTCAGGAATATGCCAGTCTTTATCCGGAAATATTTCCTGATATTCAGCTAATGCTTGGTCTGGAAAATCGTCTTTGTTGATACTAAAGGATATGAGCATAATTTCTGTTTCAACATCAATGTCACCCATTTTACCAAAATTCTTGATTATTTTACCAGATGGATAGAGACTATCTGATTTCCAATCGGTAATTTCAGCTAAGAATAAATGATTCTTAAATTTGATATGGTCTTTTAGTAAGAATTCGGGTAATGTTTGTATTGGTATGATTAATTGAGGATTTCTAATATCACATGATGTGAATTTTACGTATTTGTTGTCATTTTCTATTTTCTTTTTCTTTTGATTCATATTGTTATCGTTATTTTCATCAAATTTCAATGTTCCAGCAAACATTCTGGGATGATTTTGTTTCAAAATTCCAACCACTTTTCCTGTACGTTGAATTAATCGTGGCCAATAAGATATCTCTTCTTTTACAATGGAATTTTGTAAGGTGAAAATTTCCAATGGAAGATTTTCAAATTCATCCAGTAACAGCTGTTTGGATGTCTCGTTTGTCATTGGTGATGATGTGGATTTTGAACCCATACTAATTAATCCCATATCTTTTGAATTGAGTTTTAATTTTGAAAGATCTATTTCTTCATTATTTGCCATGATCAATCGCATGAAATCGTCTTTCCATTCTTCCCAATTCGCATTTATTGCCGTGTAGGAAATCTATATGAATTCAAGAAAAGATCTGGGATCAAACTGTCGAAGAAAATTTTAGATATTTTGATTATACCTTCCATTCTGTTTCATCCAGAAATTTCACAGCAACAAGATCACCATTTAATGCTTTATTTCGGTCAATCAAACCTTTAATGTAAATGTCTAAGCCTCCGTCCTATAAGCGAATCCATGTCACGATACAATAAGATAAAGATTTAGATTAAAAACACTATTGGATAAAGTTGGATAATATGAAAATACCAGATATTACCGGAGCACTGATATAAGCATCGTTATAATTTCGTTGATTGATCCGTAATATTCCCTGTATGAAGACATTTGAGATATTAATTAATAATGAATAAATTCATTCAATTTACCTCAACAATTTCTCCTTTTTGTAGACCTTTTTGCATCTCACAAAGTGGTAGATATTCCTCATAGTTGGCCATACGTTTTTTTCTTTCGATAAAAAAATTATTCTATCGTTAATATAAAAAAAATAATTAAATTAATTACCGGGAACTATTTTTGGTTGCATTTGTCATCATGGTAGCTGTCGTTGCGGCGGTCGTGGTTGATGATGACATGATTGAGTTAGAACTTTCGTCGTCAAGTGTTACTTTCGGTGTAGATGATCCAGGTGTCGATGGTAATGATCGACTCAATTCTTTTGGTCTGTAAAATTATGATAAAAAATTATCAATTTTCATGTTATCATCACTATGGTAAGCAATGTAATAGCCACATAAGCTCTACACGTTGTTACATTCTACAACGAATGAGCCAGCCACATTACAATAATTGAGCAGAGAGAGTGTCTCTCAACACTCATTTGCTCTTATGACAATGCATAATAACAAGCCTACTAGATTCTCTCGACTCATTTTTTTCTGTTTAGCCGCGATTCATTCATTTATTCTGTTCTGTTCCAAGTGAAACAAACACATTTCTGAGAATCTTACCTGAGTTTATGTTGACAATATCGTAGTGCTTGTTGTTGTTGTTGTTGACAATGATGACGTTGTGGATGATTAAGACGATTATGTATATTCTGATGGATTCGTACATGTTCGGGTAAATCCATTATTCGTAGATTATTTAAATTAGTAATCATCTGCTGTGGTTGTTGCTGATGATGATGGTAACCGATATTCCATCCGATTAGATTATTTATGGCCAATACATTCATAGAATTTCGACCATTAGTGGCCATATCTGTATGATTACCATTATAAATGGGTATCTTACTACGTCCATTCGTATTGATGATCATCGTACCGTCACCAGAATAGTCTCGTTTAAGGCTATTTGAATTTTTTATTCGATTATTATGATTGATAATGCAATTCTTATTGCTACGAATATCAGACATTGTTGATGTTGAACATTCTGTTTTTGCATTATGTTTTGGCATTTGTATTTATGTGCAAAAATTGTTAATGACAGATAATAATTTGTACATTTGTCGTAATTGTCGTTTGATTGGATTTATATATTTTTTTTATATTCGGAAAAACAGGCAAATTTTTTATTTGAGTTCGATCATTCGAACTTTTAATAATTTACATAAAAAGCATTGCAAACTAATAAGTCCGTATGATGATAAGGATGCTGTAGAAAATTGACCATAAAAATTCGATTCGGACCAACCAACAGAAAGATGACTCATACAGATGAGGACGACGGACAAAAATTATCAAGATTCGAGCATGCTTACTAAGGTTAATATTTTTTATCAGATTTTCGCAGTCGCAGATTAATATAAGCGTTCGGGTATACCCGCTATTAAATATCACGACTATTTAAATGAGATGTATTTTTCATCCAATCTATAGATTTCTGTATTATATAATTGAAAATTTTCGCGCCGTTTACAAAGAATAAAATCCTATCATTAGTGGAACTAAGACTATTAAATTTTTCAATAAATTACAGCTACGGAAATAATCTGCGAAAATATTTTCTTGTTATGGATCCTTTTTTTCAAAATCTACTTTATATTGCTACATCATCAAATCATTATACCAGTGGATTTCGGTATGGATCGGTTTGAGGTTCAAAAGAGAACGGCATCATCGAGCCACATCAAGTTAACGATAAAAATGCCGTGGTGGCGTCCTATAAAACACACACAGCCATAGTCATCACATTTGCAAAGCATGTGTGTGTGTGTGTGTGTGTGTGTGTAAACGTGCGTTGCTCGATGTCGTTGGTTAGCGACGACGACATCGAGCCGTGGCTGCTGTCGATGATGATTTGCGTGCCGTTTATTTTTCTCCTGACAAGAAGTTAGCAGTTGCCTTCAAATCTATCTGCTACCAATGCTGTTAATTTTGTTAGTTCGTGACAATACGTCACTGGCCAAAAAATATCAGCCATTCGAATAACGAACTCAAACTGTAAACAGTGAATACGTTTGTCATATTTTTATCCATCAATTGATATCATCATCATCGTAACTATAGAAAAACGTTCTGGTCACACACACAAAAACATCAAGAGCATCGGTAATCACCAAAACCTTGTTTTTTGATTAACGATCTATCTTTCTTTTGTTTGGTTTATTTTAAATTTAATTATAGAAAATTCATCATGATGCAATTGGTCAATGATCCATCTCGATCAGCATTAAATGTTCGATCAATAATATGTGACAATAACGGCATCATCATTGCCGAAACAGTTTACCGTTGTATGTTTTGCGCCAAAATTTTTGACACAATGGATCAAATACAATTACATTATCATTGTGAACATTATGAAGAGGAAATATCTTTCAAAAAAATCGGTCATCAGAAAAAACAAAGAAAAAGACCAATTATCGATTATGATCAAGATGATTTTGATGATCCTATTGAAAAGGTCTTTGATGATGATGATGCGATTGTTGACCAAGTTTCTAACAATGTTGAAGATTATTTTGAAGATAATTCACATCTTATGTCCATGCAATTACATGAGAACCTCGATGTTGATGAAAGTAAGTGATTTTTTATCATTGAAAACAGTACGTATTAATATATTAATATTTTTCCCTTTTATCATAGGTTTTGTTTCGTCTTTAACACAATCGACTAAATCTTCGCCAACTCATTCATCGATGCCCAATCAAAATTCCAAAGGCGGAACCGTTACATGTGAAGTTTGTGGACTAACCAAATATTATTCTCATATATCACGTCGTTATGGTGTGTTCAGCTGTGAAAGTTGTGCCAAATTTTTCTATCGTTACACTCAGAAACCAGTGCAATACATATGTTTGTATGATGGAAATTGTTCATTGAAAATTGATTCGCCTGGTGCACGTTGTAAATCTTGTCTACTCAATGCTTGTTTAAAGAAATATATATTAGATCCTAAGAAACATGCCAACATATACCAAAAACATTTTAATGCTTCCACATCGAATATTCTCATGGTAGACGATATCAACAATAATAACCATATTACCTCAGATGATCAAATACTTTTAAAGGAAACCATAGCCTCAGGTTCATCTTTGAATGAGAGTATTGTTCAGAAGTTTATAAAACCCAATCCTGAAATCAAACAACCTGGACATCGATCAATGAATTTGGGAGTTAAAAAATCCAAATCCAAACAGGATCTATTAAAGAAAAAATCTAGTACTACTTCAAAGGGTGACAATTCACTTGGGATGAATTCTAAATTTCGTCGAATGGCTTGCCGTGTTTGTGAAGGATGTTTACAAGATGATTGTGGTACATGTTTATATTGTTTGGATAAACCAAAATTCGGTGGCAATGATATCAAGAAACAAAAATGTCTTAAACGTCGATGCCTTCTTCTTAAACAATAATCATCATTGTTTTTTGGAAGCCAAAGCTATGTGCGTGTATAGAAATTGTTTTTGAATAATTTTTCGAAGTAATAATTAAAATTCCGTTTTTTCAATTTATTCCTTTTACTTTTTATTATTCATTTTACGATATAAAATATCCACAAAACAAAGATTGAAAATCAATATGATCTGCCCAATAGATGGCAGTAAGTGATGATAATGATGAAATATCGCTGAACATGTCGAACGATGGCCGATGATGTTTTCGGTGATTCAGATGGTGATGATGAATTAGCCTTGGCATCAAGAGAATTCGAAAGAGATTTGAATCGTATTGAAAATGTAAGTTATCCATTGAAAAAAAATCGGGTTTTGTTTTAAATTCTTTTTAGTCAGCATTCCATGACGCTTTTGAGGAAACACGAGACAAATTGACACAGCAATCCTTCGATGATGGATATTCGATTGCTTTTCCATATTTCGAAAAGATAGGACATCTAGAAGGATTCAATGATGTTTTGATTTATAAAATGAGACATCAGGATGAAGTTCTTAATCGTATGAAACAAATCAAATCTCGGATATCAAGATTGTATATGCAACTAGATCAAGAATTGGAACAGCAGATGAATTCAAATGTTGAGCGAAAATTGTATGAAATATCCGAAGAAATGATGATGGAAAACATTAAGCCGAGTAATGAATTGATCAATGAATTCAATCAGATCAAAGCCGAAATCATTGAATGTGCAAAATTGGCTGATTTAAATTTCGATGAGCGAATCATCGGTAAAATTAATGATATAAATTTGTGAAATTTTTATTTATTACAACATTGTTCTAATAAAACAAAAACAATACATGGAATTAATAATCCGAACGTTTCGACATCCACCGAGCTAATACGGTGCTGAATCGATCTTGACGACTATAGTGATTTCGATATAGTAGCCAATGGCCAGCTATACCGGCCAAAACCATGCCCACGAAGATTTTTCTTCCGGCTGGTGAACTTGAATAGTTATTCTTATCTGGATATACTCGAAAATTCGCCATATTCGTTACGATAATTGATGGACAATCTATAGTAAATCAATCTCAGAGGTCAGACTCGTCGACACTCGCAATCAGCTGTTTATGAATCGAATACTGCCATCTGGTAATTTATCATTAAAATAATATGTTAGAATAATCAGCTTTTTCCTCACATAAATTATCTGAAAATCAAAATGGAAATCTGCAATAATGAGCCGGTGTTCTTTGAAACGGTTGTTCCTTTCGTCGACATCGATACAGATGGTTTAATAGATACAGAACGATTCCTTGAAGCCTCCAAATGTATAGTTAAATTTGTCGAATTTTTCGGCATCACTTTTAAGCCTGTTAAAAACGATATCGATGGCAACATCAATAAACTAATGAACATATTTGATACGGATAAATCCATGTTTAAGGTGAGATCATATAATTAAAATATGTGATTTTTCTTTGAATGATATGAAATTTTAGCATTTGAATACGATAGTGAAACTTGAAAAAGAGACACTTAAAGATGAAGACCTACACGTCGGAACGGATGCATTGACATGGCTAAATCGAGCTCTGATTTACAATCAAATTTTCCTCTCGTTATTTCTAGAAGATTACAAACAAGTTGACGATGAAGAAAGCTTGCAAAACTTGCCCGAAGATTTGACCAAACACTTTGATTCAGCTTACGAGTTAACATTGAAGAAATACCATGGATGGTTAGTAAGAAAGATATTCAGTTGTTGTCTGATGGCTGTTCCAAGTAGAACCAATCTTCTAAAATATCTTGGATATCTGAATTTAAACATGCCATTGATCGAATTACGACAAGTGATCATCAAGTCTATCGATAATTATCTTAAACATCTAAAATCAAACACCGAAGCAGTGGCCATTTTATTATTGGCTCATGGATTTCAGCCTTGATCATTTAAACAATGTCTTATTTAATTACAAAGAAAGGATTTATATTCGATATTACAATTACTACACTAGAACATTTGTTGCCATTCGAGTTAATCTTGTTCATTTAATGTTTCACAATTCACATCTGTTTTGTTCATGTAATAATCTCGACTAACTTGACTAAGAAGAATATTATGTAGTAAATTTTTTCTTTTTAAATCATGATTCAATAATGGCGGATACGGATTGCCTTTCAATTCGATCAGTACTCGTTGATTAACGTACGATCGTTGTTTATAATTTGACCAATCGATGTCACGATTCGAGAGTAAATGCATCGATGTGAATGATGTCGTATAGTTTAAATAACGTGGTACCAATACTTTGAACAATTTATGGATCAAGGTTTTATCCTATTCACAATACGAATTTCATCATTTTAGCAGACAAAATTTTTAAAATTCATAAAAAATGATCATACTTTCAAATAGAAATTGGCAAGTTCCATTGTTGGTACATGACAGTCACCATAACGCATCGCTTCGGCTATCAACTGAATAAAAAAAAATTGAAATACAAGTAAAACTAAATTTTCGTTTATATAATTACCCGCTCAGTATAATTCCGAACTTCATATCCTCTGTAATAACTGAATTCGACTCGTTCTTGATCAATCAATCGATTGACCGAATGGGCAATCGCAATCAATCGCATTTGATAGGGAAATATCCGACGTAAATGTTCGAGATTACGTCCGCCTCGAACTTTGATTGCTTTATCAGGAATTACGTAAGGCATTTGAGGCATAAGTTTTTCGACTTTGGTCTACAAAATCAATTCATAATAAAATTAGCTTTATTGATGGAAAATCAATAGATAAATTCTGGCCTACCGTGGGAAAACGTATCCTTCGCCATTTGGCTAGTAAAAAATCAAAGATTTATTAAAACAAAATGATCATATCAATTATCTTACCAATAACTAAACGAGGCATTATGTTTGAGATTCAAAATAACAAAAATTTCAACACGATCCAAACAAATTGATTTAAGATTAACCAATTTGCATGCAGAAGCATGGCTATTTTCGGAAAAATTCTTGTGCGAATTTTTCCGTAAACTTTTCTCATATATAAGAATTATTTTGAAATTAATTCCAAAATTTTCTCAATTTATTAGATATTAGATTATATAAAAAAATTGACAATCGAAATGTATAAAAAAAACTACGATGAAGATGATTGTTGTTTCAGGCTTAGATCTGACTCAATTTTCTGAAACATTCGCTTAATATGGTTAGGTATACGTTTGGTTCGTGTTCGTTTCTTTTTACCATCCTGTTTCACAGCCACATTCGTGTTCGATGATGCCTTATTTGGAGCCACGCTTTTTTTCTTTTTGCATGATAATGGATTCGGGCCTTTTGGACCTTTACGTTTCCGTTTGACATGTGCTGGTTTGTCTAAGGATTCAATCTTTTTCAATTTTTTCAACGTTTGAAACTGATGAGAATCGACTTGATGAAAACGTTGTTGTGATTCAATAGCTTTGTCTTTGGCTTCGACAGCTGGTTGCTCTAAAATTATGGTATTCGTTTTGATGAATAAAATAGGAACATAGGCAAGCGATCGCGTTCTCTCCGTAAGATCTTGATCTTGGGTGGCCAAAAAATAATGCTCTTCTTTTCGTTGTAGTAAAGAAAAAATACAATCATTTGCTGAAATTGGATTCTTTTCATGGCCACATTTATGGATTGGAAATTGTTTGATAACTAGCATTGCACCATAAATCGAATGGCCTATTGAATCAAGTATATAAATCGGTTAAAATTTTTGTAAACATGATAGAGACACACTTACCAAGTCTTTCTGTTTCATTGACAACACAAACAGTTGTCAATAATTTAACATCATCATTTAAATATTTTGGAATTTGTTCTTTAATGTTGATTTTATTCTTCAAAGCAGCTTGACAGAATGTTGCATCCAAAATTATCTGGTACGGTGGTCGAAAATCGAAATAATTACGATAAAATAACAAATGCCGTTGGGCACGTTTGTATCGAGTTATTTTCATTATCTTGGATTTTCATGAAAAATCTTGTCAAAATAATATAGAATCAATAAAAACAACAAAATAAATAAGAATCAACAATCCTAAAATGTGATTCACGTGTGAATTTTAATTTGGGACTATATATAATCGTTCATATAAGACGTATTATATGAAAATTTGAATTTCTCCAAATACAAGAATAAGAAAAAGAGAGGTCGTACATTGTAGTAATAAATGCTCTGAACCAACAGTTCCCATCGTCTTGGATGTCAGAATTGTAATGTAAAAATATGAATTAAAAAGCGATAACATTTCTTGTTGAAAATATATCCAATTTGAAAGTTTTCACATTAGAATATTCTTCTGAAGCATCATATCAAACAAAATTATACACTTAACTTTTGATGGTTATTAGCATTAAAAAAAATTCAAAATTGATAAACGTATTTATTTAGAAATATTTATTATCGGTTTATTTTTAAATGATTAACCATATTTAAGATTGCTCAATGCATTTTATATATATTGAATAAATATTCATTGGTCAGTGATGTATATTTACAACAAGAACATGATTGAATCAACAAAAAAAAATCCAAGTTAAAAGTAGAATAGATGACATATATGTGCGTATGTGCTCGTAACGAAAATCAAAGTTGGAAAATCAAAACAAACAGGCAGAATGAAAACTGATACATTTTACCGTCATTGCTTATGGATGGAACATTTAAGTACAATAGAATTACTGTATTTTATGAAATTTGGACAAAACGGAAAAAGAAAGAAATGATGATTCCACGGTGGCATATGAATGATATTTACAAGAAATGATCATTTAATAAACAGAAAATAAATAATTTGTGGCACAAAATTGGAAAAAGTTTCTCGCTTTCAAAAAAAAAAAAAATCTTTATAAGTTATGATATCTGTGGATAAGTTTTAAATATGAATCCTGAACCCCAGACACATACTAAAACAAGCAAACATGACATCAACAACGGGAAAGACAAATCTTAAAACAAAATCATCAAATGGTCAGTTTTATATTTCCACTCAAACCCATCAATAATTGGATTGATATAATTGACCCATTCAAACCACTATGAAAACCAGGAGGTAAAATAAGTCAACTTGTGGCAAATGAACTTATACAAGCAATTAAATTAAACCAATAACTCCGCCAATGCGGTTTTCGGCAAGACTTTTCCCAAATTAAAGGTCCATTGAAAGAGACAAGGAACGAACAGTATTCACGAATGAAATTGGTTCAATTCCGCACAGACACCCGCTGAATAATCAAGAATGAAGTACCGAACCAATTTAAGACCGCACAGGAATATCTCAAGTAGATCATGATGATCAGGGTTAAATCGTTGTTATTGATCAGACCATCTAACCAACTATTCTTTTCCGGCGGTTTTAGTCAGGATAAAGGATGATGGTAGTGACCAGGCTTTGTGCAGACAGAATGATATTACCATAACAGAGTGTTATCCAATGCCCCTTTGATATGGAGCATTGAAGATCGTATGTTAAATTCACAATTTTCTGCTTTTGATATTGCCTCTGGCTTTCATATTCATTGAAAGGAAAGTATTAAGTACAAAACTGCATTTCTATCATGACTGAACACTTTTGAAATTCTGAACGTCATGCCATTTGGTTTAGTACGGTCTTCAGTAATTTTTCAAAGAATAGTATACATTCCTGAAACATAACAGGTTGAGCAATATATATCATTTAATAATCGTTTTCTAGAAATTATAATCAAATATATGGATATTATTTGCAGTCCTAAAGAAATAATATCATTTTAAACTTTCAAAACAAATTGGTCAATGTTTGTTATTTAGGACATCAAATATCGTTCAATACAATAAGACCTCTTAAAAGCAATAAATACAATGGAATTGTTGCATCAAAAATTCAAAATTGATAAACGTATTTATTTAGATTTAACCATATTTAAAATTCAAAAGTTGGAAAATCAAAAACAAACAGGCAGAATGAAAAAAAGCGAATTTTACCGTCATTGCTTATGGATGGAACATTTAAGTACAATAGAATTACTGTATTTTATGAAATTTGGACAAAACGGAAAAAGAAAAGAAATGATGATTCCACGGTGGCATATGAATGATATTTACAAGAAATGATCATTTAATAAACTATAGAAAATAAATAATTTGTGGCACAAAAATTGAATTCATCAGTATATTTGGAGAAGGTCAAACATAGTTGCTGTTTCGACTATGTAAATGCACAAATTAATATTCATCTCAAAACCACCATGCGAGTGATTAAATATATCAGTTTTATTTTTATTTTTAAATGATTAACCATATTTAAGATTGCTCAATGCATTTTATATATATTGAATAAATATTCATTGGTCAGTGATGTATATTTACAACAAGAACATGATTGAATCAACAAAAAAAAATCCAAGTTAAAAGTAGAATAGATGACATATATGTGCGTATGTGCTCGTAACGAAAATCAAAGTTGGAAAATCAAAAAACAAACAGGCAGAATGAAAAAAAACTGATACATTTTACCGTCATTGCTTATGGATGGAACATTTAAGTACAATAGAATTACTGTATTTTATGAAATTTGGACAAAACGGAAAAAGAAAGAAATGATGATTCCACGGTGGCATATGAATGATATTTACAAGAAATGATCATTTAATAAACAGAAAATAAATAATTTGTGGCACAAAAATTGGAAAAAAGTTTCTCGCTTTCAAAAAAAAAAGAAAAAAAATTTTCAAATTTACAGGCGAATCCAGTTTACAAGAAGTTTATGTTAGTCGAATTGATAAAATGAAGAGAATCAATTCTGAAACGATGCCGAATACAACAAAGAACAAGGCAATCAAATTAAAACAACCGGCACCAGGAATAACCAGCAAATAATGGCCATCGTTTGAATCAGCATTATGGATGTAACTATGAAAATGATTAAAATGAAAACAAAAAAAAAAAATTAGATATAGTTGAGTAAAATTTATGAGGTAATTATTTTGATCATCATTATTTTAAATCGTGATGATCATGATCATCAAAAAAACAACATTGAAACATAAACACAGGAAAATGGCTAAAAATAAAAATAAATTGAAGAATTTCTCTGTAAATAAATAAATAAAATTAAAAAAAAACTGTATCACAATATGATTTAGAAACAAACACTTTTATATTTTTTTTTTTTTTTTTAAATTAAATTAAATGAAGACAAAGAATTCTCGGTATCTTGTTATATTTTGTAAATGTCGATCAGTTTACGATATATGTTGTGATTCGCTATTATTATCGTTGATGACATAGTGAGATTCTGATGACGGGGGGAAGAAAATGGATTGAGTTCATTTTTTTCGTCTGCTTCAATGAATTATTTGTTTGGTTAGTTAGTAAATAATTTTTGTTTTTTTTTTTCATTTTTCTTTGATTCTCTATAAATGTGATTCGCTCAAATGACCAACAATGATGATGATGATGATGAAGAAGCCCTATTAACGATTAAGGATGATGATGATACCGACTGGACAATCGGAGAATGTCTCATTGCACGAATATGTTCTCTTTTTTCCTTTCTCTCTAAATATAAGCTATCATCATTATTAGTTAGTGTACCCCGTGTCTGATCATCGAAAATAAAATGCAACTTAAAAAAACTTCTGCACAAAAATCGAACAAAAAATGTGTAATCTGAAAAAGTAAATCACACGAGCAATGAGTCAAAATCGTACAAGGATTTTAAGTTCATCATCAATGGAAATGATTCTATATTACAAACATAATGCACATTATATACATGTTCAAAGGAACAATGATGAAACAAGAAATTAGACAATTTTTTGTTCTTGTCGGACATTTGAAATGCTGAATGAGTGTAGTGAGAAGTGGAATTTTTTGAATGAAAAGAATGAATGATCAAATGATTATTATGATTACCATTGATATTAACAGCAAAGTTTTCGGAAAAATGCAGACCCGAACTTTGTTTCGATGTGCCAAGAAGAAGTTCATTCTTAACATGGTAAATGTTTTTCTCCATTGATGCTAAACATTTGATACGATATTGTTTAATGTTCGATGATGTACGATCATTTTTACTGTTGCTGGACAAACGATTTGACAATTGATGGTGGTAATGTTTGCCACTATGCGATAATGATGATGATGATGAAACCGAGTTTTCCATTTTCACCTTAAATTTTAGGCCTAGTTTAGAGGCAAATGATCCATCACTTAATGGAAATATTGGATATTCGCGAATTTGAGCTGGATTGGCCTATGGAAATAAAAAAAAAGAAGAAAACATTGAATAAATGTCAAGTTATCGATAGAAATGATTATTTGTAATGTTTAAGATGAAAATAATCAATACTGTAGATTTTTTTTAAAAAGGAAAATTCCACAAAATAAATGCGAAAATAAAAAATTTAATCCACATGTCTATATATTACGAATATTTCAATAAATTTTCCATTAAATATAGAAAAAGAATTTGAAGAATGAAACAAACAGAAAAAACAAATTTTGGGATGACCAACAAACAAACCGACAAACTAACACATCGAATGAATAACTGGATGTTGTCCGTTAAGCCACTAATCTAATATAATCAGTTTTGAACTAGTTTTCGATCAAGATTTTTTTTTGCGATCGATCAAATATATTTGTCGCATCACAAATTTTTTTCATTGTCAAACGGTATACGATCATTCGATTTCATAAAATGAAAAGGAATCGACATGCACGCATGCATGAACGAGTATGTCGATTCAAAATGTAATTCAATTGTTATATACCTTATATAACAACAATGTTTTGACAAACAAAAACATCCAAAAAACAACGATATATAGAATGAACAAACAATTTTAATGCCTATCTAATGACTCTTTCATTGTGTCATTATTATTATATTCGTCTTTATAGTATTCAAAAAAAAAAAAAAAATTCCATGTCTTTATGCAAGTTTCGAGGCTGGAATCTTTTCTTTTTAATTCGTTGTCGTGTGTATATCACATCATGTCATTGTTGAGCCCCTTTTTGTTTGTCTTCGGTCTGTTTTGTTTCATAAAATTCTGAATATCGGATCTTATTTGGATTTTGTTGAAAAACACAACTGGCAACTTTCATGATCATAGATACAAACGTACACACGACGACAACGACGACTACGATCCAAACAACAATAATGATGTCTGTTTTGAAATTTTATTCACACAGCGTTGAATATATTCTAACATAGTCGAATGAGAAACAAAAAAAAAATTTGTGCAAAGCCGTATAAATTATGTTGTTGTTTCGTATACCGAAAAAAAACAACATGTTTGTCTATGAGTATGGATGGATCGACGATTCCACGGGACGAGATTTCCAATCGTAACCGATTGTATATTATACAAGTTTTGTTGTCTGGTTGTTTATGTTGCCATTTGTCATCTTATTAATAGATAGATACTATATATAAAGAAATAATAACAACCATCACCATCACCGTTACCAAAATAGAAGTTAGAATGAGAAAAAAATAAATTGTATGTACGAAAGTTCAAACATTTAGAAATAAAGAAATAGAATCCATTCAATACACGATTGAATCGATTCGCTTCGAAAAGCAATCAGTTCATAGTTGCAGAAACAAAATTTTCTTTTCCGAATCGAATAAGCCTTTTTTGAATGTGTTCTTTTCTAAATAAAAAATTTACACTAGATTCACATGTCAAATTGCATTGATTTGTTGCATGTAATGAGAAAAAAAAGTAATTCCAATTCAATTTTTCTCTCTTCTTTTATTCATAAAAGAACTTGTGGATTCATAAATTTGGTAGCTAATTGAATTCCCCCATGGAGATGGTGAATTGAATGTGATATGTATGATTCATAAGGTTAAACATACCTCTTCATCATTGACCATAAAGCTGAGCTTTGGAGCAGGTTTTGCACGTGAAATGCATGTCAAATTGACAATATCACCAGGCTTATAATATCGTTGATGTGATATTCCGGTTATAATGGGAATATCTTTGCTCATAGAATCGGTTACTGTTTATGAATGAATCAGTTAAATTTTTGTGGTATAACTAATATTGATCTTTTTGACTTACTCATTTGATGAGCTGAATTTCTATATCTGTTGAATAAATCCGACGACGATGATGATGATGGATCATTGGCACCGCCGATCATAACCTCTTCACTGGCCACCGTATATTGTAGAATAATATCACTTAAACAGGTTATTTTTAATAGACCACCATGATAATGGCTGCTTTCAGAATAGAAAAATAATTGCGATGCTGAACCGATTAGACCATCGGATGATGATGACAGAACTGACAATGATTTAACATAACGAGAATCGGCAATCTCCTGATTGATATGCCATGTTAATGTTGCGGGTGGCTGAACCAGATCATCAAAAAAGATAAAAAAATTAAAAGCATAAATATTTCAAGTTAAAAACCAGAAACATGAAGAAGGAAAACCTCTTTCAAGTAAATAAACAAATGTTCATCATAAATTTCAATTAGAATAATAGACATTGTTGTCGTTGTTGTTGTTGTCTGTCTAATAAGGTCGATAATATTTGAAAAAAAGTATCAAACTACAAATTAAGTTAAGGCTTTTTTTTGTTCTTTTACAAACACTGGATACAAAGTTAATTTTAAAAGGATCCAAAAGCAGATGGGGATTTATATGGCCGGGGGTTTACAATTTTAAAATTCAACAGACATATCTACTGCCGCTGTTTCAAAAACAAAACAAAAAAAAAAAATTACGTGTGTATATAAGCTATAACGCATATGACCGAATTATGTGACTGAACCAAAATACCAGAAAAAAAACAGAATTTAAAGAAAAATGAGAAAATAATGAGAATATGAACTTCTATAGCTTATATAACAAACAATAATACATGTAACGAGTTCATGGAAAAAATCTCAGATAGTACATACAGATCATCATTATTCCTCTAGTTTTTTTTATAGGATTCACAATAAAGTGAAAAAAATTTCTGTGTTTGTGTGTGGAGTTTGTAATAAACAAATCGCAAACATCTTTTAATCATATATTAACAAATTCAAATTGCGACTTATTTATAGCAATGGTATATGTCCAACATTTATTTAATCAGATCAATGTCGTATACATGTTTGTCAATTCATTTGTAATCTGTCATATAAAGGCTTAATAAATTCCTATTTATCTAGTATTGAAGATTATTTGATCATCGAGCCATTAAATAGCTGTTAGAAGGCAACTTAATTACTTCCAGCATATCATAGGTAATGTAACCAGATGTAAAAACATTGATGTATACATATGACAACAGAAACAACAGTCAAGAAGAAGGCAACAACAAAGAAAAACATGAAGAAAAAAAAATAGCAAACAAGCACTTACCCTGGATGGCATGGTTCGACAAGTCAAATTGACTGTTTCCAGAAAAGTGGTCCAAAAGAATACAAAGAATATGTGAAAAGTAAAATAATGAGAATGATAGAAAATGTGAAATTAAATATTCATTAAATAGATCGCTTACATAAATAATAAAGTCATAAGTGTCAAACTATGAAACCTAACGATTAAATACAATATACTATGAATAAATACTGTATAATAAGAGCTACTCATGAGCTCATTTTATTCTGTGTTTATGAATTCTGCAATTAAGCGCGAATGGAACCCGAATCATATGAATATAAACCGGAAATATATTTGTCGAAAGGCCGAAAGTCTTCAAATATATTAAATACAGTAAATGTTTGTAAATTAATTAAACACACGCTATAGAAGATATATGGATCAGTAAAATAAAAGATGTGCACACTAGCAACATTGTTTTCATTTTAAAAATGAATTTTTTGCAGCTATTTTATTTTATGAATAAATTGAATTGGCACATGATGAGCAATTGATTTCATTTCATTTATGAATGTGATCTGTTTGAATTAATATATTAAAGCCAAATGCACACACCGAAAATTTGGAGTATATTGATAGATACAAATCAATTGACCTGTAGGAAAATTGCAATATCGAAACCAAGATTACAAGAATCATTCGACCATTAATGAGTGTCAAAAATGATTTGCTATAGCACGTTCATTAATCGTTAGAGGTGAATGCTTCCATCGAATTATAATCATAATCATCATCATCATATTATTTTATTATCATCTTGGCTTATACAAAATTCTTTCCATCATCGTCGTCATCTCTAGCTTTTCTCTTATGGATTCGACAAATGATTGCCTTTTACATATATATATGGAATCATATGAATTAAAATAATTCCTATTGATAGTTTTTAGTTGTCTCTCTTTCGTTCTCTCACGAATATATCAAATTTATTTAGTATAATATTTGATGGATGACGTGAATAATGTTCGATTCGATTCAGTTAGCGGTTTTTTGAGATTGGCATGGAAATCATCATCATCATCATCATCATTGTCAGCTTCACTAACCAACACCAACAATATCAACCAACTGAACAAACTTATTATCACATACATACACTCACACATATTAAATGGATCTACCATAAATCCCAAAGGTATTGGCTCGGTTAGAATATTTCTACCAATGAATCGAATCGGATATTTATTATTATATTCTTCCTCCATGACTCAATATGTGTGTGTTTATTTCAATCTAATTTCTGACCCTTTCCATTTACATCATCACCTGATTTTCTCAACCAATCTAATGATATTCTATCCTATATATTCGAAATACATATTGACACAAATATAAGATGAAATATAAATAAAATTCCAAAAACTAATAAGATTTAAATTTTTAATTCGAATGAGAAAAAATAACAAAATAAAGAATGAGTTCATTTTTGGATTTAGAATTAGTTTGTTGTTGTCATCGGGTGAATGAAAAGAGCATCAACAAAAAAAAACTGCAAAATTGGCCACAAAAAAACTTACTTAAATCTCCTGGTCTATAATAGCTGGTATCGTTGTTACCAATGGTATGGATAATTGGCTTCTCTTTGGGCAGACCTGAAAATGAAACAGATAAAAAATGTAGAAATGGAACGAAAAAAAAACAAAACAAAACATCAAAAAAAAGACAAAAGAAAAAAAAGATGATTCTATTTGATATGAAAAAAAAGAAAGTGAAAAATGGATAAACATTTCATGGTTGATTCATTATTGATGAAGGTAGAAATCAACAAAAATACGAACACACACACACAGAAAAGTAACATATATACTTATGAGATGAGCTAGAATCGGTTTTATTTGTAATTTCTATATCTTATAACATATACTCAAGTTGAAAGAAATTGAGATATATGAAAAAAAAATTATAAAAATCTATATTTATTAGTTGTTATATGATACTAGGATCTTCATTATTATCATCATGATGATGATGAGTAGTACAGTAGTGAAACTAATGATCTAAAACACGCAACATTTTTTTTTTTTTTTGTTTCGAAAGCTTGTCTATTTAATTAATGCCTATTTAATTATGATTCTATTGTGAATAGGGAAACAATTCTAATAATTGGCTGTTGTGTCGATTCCTAGGGTTTGATTTAACAATAACAACAACAACAACAACAACAACAACAACAATAATAATAATAATAATAATAATAATAGTTAATGATGAATGTTTTTGTTTTTTCTATGAATAGATGGAATGTTGAAATATTGAAATCCAGTTCGTTTTTTTTTGTTCGTACGTGCAACGATGGAAATCAAATATTTTTTTTACTAACTATTTTTTGTTTTGTTTTTTTTCGTTTTGGTTTTTAGAAAATAAATAGAAAAAAAACAACTCATAAGAAACGAACAAGTAAGAGTTTGTTCCAAGTAGAAAGCAAGAAAACAACGACATAAAATCGTTCGACAAAAGCTAACATATTTTTTTTCCCATAGACAATTTGTCGATTTCGGTTCATGTCACTAATGGGAAGGGATAAAATGGCCCAAAGACATAGAATTTGAAAGGAAAATATCTTAAACGGCATTCCACCAATAATAATGTCGGTACAATTACTGCCAGTTTTTACGGCTTTTATTCTCATTTTGTCGGCAGCCATAACGATTCAAAGAATCAAAATACAGCGACGATGAGCAGCGATTCATTGCAAACAAAACAAAATTCGTTCTTTATGTTTTACACATAAGATTGACATTTTCAATCGAGATATACATGGACATTGTTTATTTAAAAAAATTTTGAATGTTTTTTCAATTATTAATGTAGTTTATAAAAAAAAGAATTCATTTGAAATTTTTTTTTCGGATGTATCAATCGGAAACGTGATAAAGTTAAAACCGCATAGAAAAAAAACCACATGATCAGCGAAATCCATATAAATCATAAAGTATGAAATGATGAAAGCATCATACTTCTAACAAATAGATAAAAGACCAAAAGATAAAAAATTCTACAAAAACAAGACCGTAATAGAATACAGTATTTATGTTTTTTTTAATGGCAAAAAACATACCATTCACTCATCATAGACTGACATAAAACTTCTTTTCTCGTTTTCATCACGTTGATGAGAATGAATCTTCAAAAAAAGTCTTTTATTTGTGCATAATTTACTAAAAGTTTTCAAAAAAAAAAATTTATCCAGAACCTTTAGTTCCTATAGTTTTTTGCTTCATGATGATGAAAATCTAGAGCCAAAGATTAAGATAAATTCCCAAGACTGTAAGTATGTTTTTGTAATCCCAAAGTGTACGGTAATAGGAAAGGGCAAAAATGTAACTATCCATTGGATACCGGAATGCTTAGAATGAATGCATTCATTTTTTGACCGATTCTCTTAACCATAAAGAAGTTTTCGGATCATTTCGACATTACCAAAAAACAAGCTTGCACACATACACACACATTATTATTAGGATATGAAGCACAAATTTTTTTTTTGGTTCAGCTCACTTTGCAACCCCGTAAAAAAGAAGCAAACAAAACGATGGTAATATGAAGAATAGAATAAAAACAAAAGCAGTAACCATTTTTACTAAAAACGAATAGAGCCAAAAGTCATAACATCTTAATATGCCAATTCTCTCGAGTCCATTTAGACTTTCTTTCATTCTTACTCTATGGATCAAATGAAAGTTCTTGTGTGATGGTGTTTCAAATGAAAATATAGTTTTTTTCATATATATTTTTAAACTTAAATTCTATAGATTCCAACACTCTTGTTTCATCATCATCATCATCATCATCATCATCAATAAATTTTACTGATGTGGAATTTTTTTTGTTCATTTTTTGAACTTTAGAAGATCGAGAATTTAAGTAAAAAAAAGAAAAAAGATATTAAATGAATAAAGAAAAAAAAATAAAAACAATCATGAATGGTTAAGAATTGAAAACAGAAAGTAAAGATCTGTTGTTTTAGTAATTTGAGTAAATAAATCTTTTAAGATTGAGAAATGAAAAAAAAAGATGACATCATTATTATTGGCCATAGAAAGAATTATAGTTGCGACAAACAAATTTTCTTTTCCATGCTCATATTGTGAATGAAAAAAAAATTCATTTTGAATAATTAAATTTCGTAACAAAAGAAAAATCGGTCAAGATGAAGAAAAATTTCATATTAATTTCATATGGTTGTGAAAATTCATCATAACAAATGGTAACATAACAAACATAAATCATTCATAACGGACTGTATATTCTATTATTATTATTATTATTGTATTTCTGATTTTATTTGGAAATAGAATCGGATAAATCATCGAATTGTGGCGGGATTCTTTTTTCGTTCATAGTTTCATTCGAATGAGGATATAGGCCAGTTCTGACGGTTCATCATCATCATCATCATCAAAGAGGGTGAAATGAAAAAGAAATGCAAATTAAAACCAAAGTATCAAACCGAAAAAGAGGGGCGAAAAAAATTGATGATCGGTCAAAAGTAAAGAAAAAATCTTTAACAATACAAGCCAAGATTTTTTTTTTTTTTTTGTTGATTTGATTTTGGACTAAAGAGAAAATCCAATAAGACTCAATTTTCAAGATCTTTGTTTTTTTTTCTTCAATTGTTTGCGTACCGCACATGAACATACATTAATAATGCCCGAATGGCAAAATCGATTTGTTTTATTTTGATTTTTTTTTCATTTTTTTTTCTTCTTCGCCATTCGTCATCATCATCATCAGGGAGGCCGGAATCACAAAAAAAAATTCCGAGATGAATGACTGAATGCATCAAAATCTCACCACATATATAATATACACAACAGTTGTCATCAATATATTTGAAATGGTGGGTCGGATGAATGGATTGTTTGTGAATTTATTTTGGCTTATTTAGAACTACACATATGTGTATGTACAGAATGAGGTAATGATTTTCGTATATTTTGTCGCCATATTTTTTTTTGGATGGCCTTAACCAGCCGAAAAGAATATTCCATTTGCAATGATGATTTCCGAGTTTGATTCTCGATTGTTATTGTTATTATTATTATAAACATTATTGTTAATATACAATATTTCTACATGCGTTTGCAAATGATTTTTTAATATAAAAACAGCCACACCAAAAAACGGTTTGCTACCGCCAGTGAATTTGTATTGTGAATACAATGAAACCGGACGATATCGATATGATTATTTATCAGGAAAAATTTTTTTATTCTCATTTTTAGTTTTGCTTCGAGGAGAAACTATTTTTTTAGATAGTCCTATGAGAAGAGTAAAACACACACACACACACATGCAAACATACATTCACAGGATTCAAAAATGTTATATCGAGTAATGTTTGCTGAAACACTTGGGATACAATATTTATTATTGCGTTGAAAATATGAAAAAAAATTCATTTATTCGTTTGCTCAATAGAATCGAATTCATACCTAAGTTCATGAATGAATGAAAAAAAATGGCGAATCATGTATGTGTAAGCACTTGAATGACACATTCATTATATTCAGCAGAAAAAAAACGGAAAAAATCTTTCTATTAATAAATTTTAAGATGATCGAACGATCGATTGATTGTCAAGAGAAAAAAATAAGTAATCAAGACTAGAAAAAGTGTTTATCATAAAGGTATGCTCCACAACTACATAACACTCACTTTAACACTACAATTACTCAATTCAAATGCTTGAATGAATGAATGAACTTGGAAAAAATCCAAATTATAGATCAAACTAAAAAAACTAATAATAATATTCAAAGATGTTTTTGAATTTCAATTAAAATTAAAATTTTTTTGCATGCTAAAAAAAATTGATTTGGCAACATAGAGTTAAGTAGCGAAAACCTAGTAGTAATGAATTCTGAATTTTTGAAAAACAATTTCATTTACTATGTTAGACAGCCGTAAAGTGTGATTCTCTAACCATTGCTAAATGTTAAATTAGTCATTTTTTTCATCGTAAAAAATTGCAAAAACAAGCTTTGATTTCAAAAAAAAAAAAAATTTTTTTTGTTTGACAAGAACATCCACAAATATTGATGACATGTTTAAAAAATCGGCCCATTTAACACGACAATTTTTTTCAACAAGAGTGACAAAAAAAGAAAAGAATTCAGTAATGAGAAAACATATTAGGATATGAGAATAGTCGCGGTCAAATCAATTATTTTAATTACCTCGAACAAACAAACAAAAAGACTATTTTTGCTTTACGAGAAATGAAAATCACAACAGCAACATGATAATCATCATCTCGTAAATTATGATATCATCGTTATAGCTTGACAGGCTTTCCATGATAAACCACATGTTTTCTTAAATGGAGGTCTAAATAATGTGGAAAATTTTGCTGACTATAAATCGATTCACATAGTCAATATTATTAGAACAAAATTGAATTTTATTTTGATCGTGTAGTCCTAAAAAAAATGATAATGAAGATATTGCCTTTAAATTTCCGCTATTATATAACTATTAATTAATCTGATAGTGTTTCTATTTGGAATCAATTTGTTTGTGTGTGTGTGTGTGTGTGTGAAATAATGTTTCTCATTCACTCAATTTATACTGATGACAAATATATGAATGGACAGTCAGTTTGATCGGTTTTATTATTACTTAAGCAAGCAAAAAAAAAGAACAGCAGCAAATCATCAGCTGCCAAAACCGGCACCTGGTTTCCAATACCAAATGCAAAATTGCAACATATACACGCCTTATCGCGTGTTTGTTCATTTTAAATGCATAATCGAATCTAATATTAAATGCACTCACACACACACCCAAAAAAAAAATCATGACTTGATCATCATGAAAGCGAAAAAAAACATGCAAACAAAAAATCTGTCTATTTTGGTATTAAGAATTTTTTTTTAATTCTTTGACAGAGATTTCATTCATTCAATAATAATACAATCAATGAAATCATCAATATGACAAATATGAACATTCAATTGCAGAAATGATCACAAAGTTAAACGTAATCATAATAATGATGAAATTATAATAAATAAAATTGATATATGAGAATTAAACTTACTGTAAATATGTAATTCTTTTTCTTTACGAACGGTTTGAAAACTGGGTGCTTCGGCGCTCACCTGAAATAAATGAATGATTATTATGAATCAGAAATAAGTTGATGGTTTTTTTTTCACTCACCTCACAACGAAATGATCCATCTGTATAGACATCAGTCTTGGTCAGATAGACATTTCCAAACGATGATCGTTGAAGCTGTTAGAAAAATTGAAAATCAAGAAAAAAAACACACATGGACAAAAATGAGATTTTTGGAAAAATTCTTTCCACAATTTTTTTTGTGTGATATAATCAAATTGACGGCCATAATTGAATATCGGATTTCAGACAGACAGTCAGAAATGAAAAAAAAACATTTGTGGGGTTGTGACTATTAAAACAAATGATTCAGATATTGTTTAGATCATTCATTGACAACAATTCATGGTTGTTGTTTGGAATGATTTTTAATTAAAAACCAATATATTCTCTGTCCCTTTTTTTATTATTATTGTCTTGTTACAGACCAAAAAAAAAAAAATATTACATTTAAACAAGTGCCAAAAAAATGTGTGTTAAATGTGAATTCAATGGTCCAAGTAACAGTAACACACACACACACACACACACACATTAAAATTAATGGTGATCGTTGTGCGGGTACTGACATCATTCGTATTGTGTGTGTGTGTGTGTGCCATTATTATTAAACTTTTCTTTCAACAATCTCTGATGCCAAAAGATTAATGAAAAAGTTGCCACCTCTGAATAAAGGCTGAACACAGAACCAGAGAGAAAAAAAAACAGGCGTTGACGATAACATAATCCAAAAGAATAGTGAATCTCGATTTAAAATTTTTTTTTATTTCAAATCGTTTAAAAAAAATATGATCTAATGATAAGCTCCAATATTTTGTTCATACATACATATATCCAATGTGTGTACAACGATAATGGATGGCCATAGATCAATCACCAAAATGGATCTGAATTTTCACTTTATCACACACACACACACACATATCATCATTAATCTAATTGCACGTAATTTATGAGTGAACCTATTATCTTAATCATCGTCTAATATTATATAATTGGCGGAAATCAAACAGTGTACACAGTGCAATTCTATTTTCTAATCGAACAAGTGTAACATATAATTTTTTTTAACAATTTCAATCGGAATCCAAATCAAAAATAGTGAAATATTTTGAGAGAGGAAAAAAAATTCATTTTCAAACTTACATCCAAATAGATTCCTTCCATTTGAAACATTTGTCCGGGTGGTGAATCTTTCGGTATCCAACGATAAAATTCTCCTTTAGCTTCAGAATCGGCATTCCAATGATACCATTTGATTGAATATAATTCTTCATTTTCAAGGTCATAGCTACAATTAAGCCATACTGGTTGACCCATTACTACCATCGTAGGTACATTGACCGAAATTAATTTCAAGGCAGAACAACCTGTGTGTGTGTATTGAAAAAAATAAATGAAATGAAATGAAAAGAATATTTAATTCTATTGTATATCGAACAATTTTTTCCATTCTATTTCTCTCCTTGTCAAACAAAACAAATCATTCATTTCAGAGATGAGATAAAAAATTAGTTCAATTAGAACAGGGCGTTAAACACCGGAAACAAAAGTGGCAAAAGAAAAAACTAAAAAAAGCCTGCAGAGATAATCGTAAATGCTGGTTAAGGACAATTTATTGATTGTCTTGTCATGTCTGTATATATTGGCGTTTAGTCAAGAAAAAAAAATCCCACGCGATCATTCATTTACAGGGCCCAACTTCACCAACAAAAAAGTCGAAAGTAAATCCAAGTGGATTTTATTAATTTATTGACGATGAACAAAAAGTCGAAAGTAAATCCAAGTGGATTTTATTAATTTATTGACGATGATGAAATTAATGCTGTTGGCATTTATTTCTCTCTTCTTTTCGCTCTCTGAATTCGATTCGGTTGTCTCCGAAGACCAATTTGATTTATTGGTAGGATATGCTCAGCCTAAATGTACCAAAAAAAATTCAGTGACTGAAAAATAACGTAAAACTTATCAACTCACTTAATTAAGCACAATCGTTTTCATATGGTATATTCATCTTTGGCCCTAGCCATGCCAACAAAGATTCAAAAAAAAAAAATTAAGTAAAGCAAAAAAAAAAATCTTAATCTAGTTGTTGTTATTGTTTTTAATACTTTCATATGACTCAGTATGTCTCTCATAGATAATGATAATTCATCGGTATATTCTTCAGATTTCCAGGATGAAAAAGAAAGTTTAAAGGGAAAAAACTCTGTTAACCATGATGATAATTTTTCCAAGTGAAACCATTTTTTTTCTAAATTTCCAAAATGGTTATTCATCATCATATGGTATATAATCGATATAATACAAACAATTCACAATACTAAATCATATGAATAGTAATAATGGCAATTCAAGAATAATCAATGGATCGATAACAATAAATATGATAAAAAAAATCGATTTTCAAATTCAAGTAATGTGAACATAATAATAATAATAATAAAAGTTCAAATCATTTTTTCTAACCCGGAAAAAATGAAAGGTATAGGTTTTTTTATTGTCTACCTACAGTTGGCAATAGTAAGAGTAAAAGTTATGCCAATTTAAAATCGATAATGCAATGTATTGATGAAGATGATCAATTAATCTACTATAAGGTGGGTGCTGAACGAACGAAAAAAAAATTAAAACAGTATAGAATCACAATAAAAAACGAGAAAAACTCTGGTGAAACTAGCGGGTATAACAATAGACTTTTTTACACAAATATCGATACTAATTCAATCTTGATTGCGCGTGAATGATTCGGTTATAGTAGTAGTAAAAGAAAGAATTTTAAAGAATGAAAAAAAAGTTGCTTAATTTTTTATGAGTGTCGATACGAGTGTGAGTGCATTTGATGTTTCTTTTATTAGATTCTTTGTGTGTAGGTGTGTGGATGAATGTGGAGAGATATGGAATGGTTGTTATTACTAATGGTGGTTAATTGCAACTTATATGTGAACGTGTTTAGCCTTTAGGTTATACTTTTTATTTTCCACATAAGGTTGGCCAAAAAAAATGATGCGATGATGACCATAATAATAATAAATTCTATTAACAATTAAAAGATGAAAGTCGGTTTATGTATGAGAAAAGTGAACGGAGTAAATTTATATTTCTATGTATCCATATTTTTGATGGCCATTCATTCATTCTTCACATATGATCAACCACAAAATACAATCAAATAGAATATTCTTTTTGCTCGAAATATTGTCGAAATATTCCTATGAAAAAAAACGTGGTCATATATTCGATAACATGATTCATGGCAGCAAAATTAGAGCAGAAAAAAAATTGGTAAGCCAAATTTGATTCAATTAAGTCACGAATAATTCTCACATGAATGTTATGGATATTTGTGTATATGTGAATGTCGGACATGGACAAACTAATTAATTATACATGCACACTATCTATCTGGTTGCTATCGTTGTTATGGTTGTTGTTACCCTTATACGATATAATATGTTAGATATGATTAGTGGATTGGTTACCACATCTAAACATGATAACTATCTAGTAAATATAAAATCAATGGTCATCATTTTATGATCATTATGATTGAAAGTTATCATATCATATCCATATGGTGTGAATGAGTTTCAATAAGATAGACAGGCAGAGATTGTAATTCTACCAGTAAGAATATGGATATATCGAAAATATGGAAATCAATTCGATTGATGCAAATTGAATGCAATTTGGAATTTAATCATAACATGTTAGACAATTATAACATAATGATCATTCAGTCAGTATGGGTAACTAGTAAATTGAATTGACAATAAATTCGCAATAACAACAGTAACAAAGGAATGATTTTAACAAAATTGAAAAAAAAGATCTCTACTGGATCACATTCTTATAAATTTGTCATAGAGATCATTTTCGATAATTTATCGACAAACATTATATGACCAGACATGGCCATTCAAGCATTTATGGCCATATGATCATACATTTGTGATTGTGATGCTACTGTATCGAGTTCGGATAGAACCTCGATGATCATCAACTTCATATTTGTCGATCAATCTTTTTTTTTACTTCATAAGGGGTTGGGATAGTTTTTTTCCACTGGAATATCAAATGTAGTTGGTCACGGAAATTGTGCGTGAAAAAATGAAATTTTTCCTTTTGTTTTTGGTTTAATTGCACAAAAACTACGCAACTACCTTAAATCGCTTTGATAATTAAAATATGAGTTTGAATCATTTTTCGAAATGAATAGCCGCAATAGTCGAGCAGAAGACAAAGCTAAACAAACCAAGTGTGAAATAAGTCTATGGGACTGGTGTGGTGAACATTGAACAAATTTTTCATCTTAAGCTTGGCTCAATAAAAAGAATATAATATTTGAATCCGGGTTGAACCACAGAAATTTCATTTCATTTCATTTATCTCGAACCTAAGATTTTTTATGAGAGAGTAGATTTATCGCATTCATCTACCATCATCACTATGATGATGATGATTCAAGATATGAGCTCCATTAATCTATTCATATACCAGACAACATGACAAGGCCCTTAGCTTTTTCTTCACACATGAATGTCACAATTGTATACACAGTGAGAGAGAAAAAACTAGTATTTTTCTGCTGCCATAATATAACATGTCGTCGGTTGATCCATTTCATCAAAATCTATACGAAATATATATATTTATATCGCTGTAGAATCTAACATTCTGTTTTTTAGATTTAAATATGAAAAACCAAATACAAACTTTAGCTACATGAAAAATAAATACGATTCATCCCCGCGAATCTGTCTTGAACGAAAAATGAGAAAAACATCTAGAAGAGAGATAAATAAATAATTGCAACTTAAAATTTACATTTTTATTTATTCAAAATCCTTATACCACATGTATGGAGCCCAGAATTTTTTTTTCATTGGTTTCCTTAGATTCTTTCGTCATTGTCGTTGTCATATTTATAACTAGATACTGTATGGCTTGTTTCAATTCGTTTGAACGATCTCATTCATTTCAGATTTGAATTTAATTCAAATAAAATTTAAATTGGCTTCCTCTTTTTCATAGTCTCGTGTCTTGCTATACCAACTAGAAAAAAAACTTGGCATCAACGAAATCTGGAAAAAAAACAGCAGAAAACACCAATAGAACACATCAAAAGTGATACTGAATGTGTATTTGAAATTAAAAGAGGGGTAAAAACCAAGTAACATGTGGATGGCGGATCAAAATTCATTCAGCTTCAAGTTTCAAAGCCAAAACTTTGGATGAATAAAGGAAATAAAAAAAAAAACAGAAAAAAAGTTTAGGTGTGAATCCGGAATCAGGATGAAAACAAACAAATAAACAAAAATACGGAACATTTCGAATTACATACAAATATAGACAGACAAATGAATATCAAATCATCATACTGGTTAACACACATCACCAAGATAGTATCTTATATATGTTCAAAAACGACACAAGAATGTAATTAGCCGCCAATGTGATTTGTATCAAACTATATTGCTGTTTGTTTATATAAATGAAAGTCGATTGGCTTCTGGTTCCATACTACTTATGTCTGGAAAAAAGAGATTTGGTAATGATGGAAATGACTGATTCGTTGAGTGAATGATTTCGTATACAGAATGAAAAAGATAGAAAAAGAAAGAAATACAACAAATATAATCAGATAAAATTAGAAACTCTAATTTGACAATAATCGAAAGTAAAGGAAAACAACAACAACAACATATGTAGTAGCTAAATGTTAATTTGTCGTGTGATTCGGTAGTCAAGATAATAATCCTATCGACCATCATCATTGTCATCATCTTGGCCTATCACAAATTTTTTTTTCTATCCCGGTGTATGTAGCTATGGTTGACTATGATAATAACAAGAGAAGTAAACGAAAAAAGTTTCGAATACCGAAAAAATTTTCTGATGTTTAAGAAGATGATTTTCCAAATAAGAAAAGTATACGACAAGTATAGAACTTCAAATTCTAAAAGCGGAAATGAGTATCAAGTCGAAAAAATAAATAAATAAATGATTGATTGATGAGCATGTGTATTAAATGTTTGATAGTCTTGTTGAATCTCATGATGAGCTAAAAAACTCTTTTCAAAGGAATAAAAATTTCTGTCTCATCGGAATGGCGACCGTTTAAATTCACATAAATAAATGGATCAAACATATGGACTTATGAAATGATTGTTCATTGAAATTTTGTATGAGTTTGAAATGATTTTTATATCCAAACACATATATACACACATGCTAGACACAGGTAGAATACAAAGAAATGTCCATTTTGATTGCAAATCAATTGAGTGAGATTACAATTTTTTTTTATTTTCGGTCAAAGCCAAGTTTTTCGATTGTTGATTGTAATGTTAGTTGATGAGTTATTAGG